CATCCTGAAGGTTTGTGGAGACACCCCCCCCCCACCCCCAGCCCACCACTCTCTATCCTTGTCCCTGGAGCCCAGCACCCTCCAGCCAAGCTCCCGCCTCTGCCTTCCCCACCCCACCCAAGCAAGACCACCTTTCTTCACAGTCACTATTTATTCTTTGTTCCTTCTTTTTGTAAGAAACAGTCACAAAAACCAGTGCAAAACCATCAGTGTGGGTGTCCTGTTTTATATTACAAAAAACTCCTCTTGATATAGAATATAAAAAGGGGGGATCACAGGAAATAAACATGATAAATTAGCGAGGAACATTTACAGTTTTCAAAATAGACTTTCGACCTAGGACCCATGGGGCAAGGGAAGAGGGGGCTTCTGGGAGATAGGTGCTGGGGCCTCGGCTGGTTTGGAGTCTCCGGTCTGGGCCCCTTAGGCATGGAGGAGCGAGAGGGACAAGAGAGCCTCCGAATCCCTCAGATGGCTTCTGTTTCCCAAGATGCACACGCTCTGGAGCAGAAACCTGGCTTTCAGGCCAGGCCGTGTGGGTGTGACCAACAGCGGGCCTCTGCAGGCGGGCTGGAGGAGGTCTCCTTAGAGAGGTATCCCTAGCCCCACAGCCCCGTGGCCCTGTAGCCAGACCACCGCCAGCAGCACCTGTCCTCTATGACAGGTGCTGAGTCTGTATGTGAACCGGCCCAGTTAGATCGCAGTGCCTGGGAAGGGGGCAAGCCAGACTGGGGCTGGGCTCTGTCCTTCGAACCTCGGATGGGCCACAGGAAGCCTCGCAGACGGTCACGGCTAGAGGCTGCCCGCTCACCCTTTCCAGCCCCTGTGTGGGCAGCGGCAGACTCCACGCTCCTTGGTACCTTTCTGGAAAGCTCTGGGGGACGAGGCTCACCATCCGCCCTTGAACCTGCCTCAGCCTGATGTTCCTCTGGGATCTGTGCTGCCTCCCACCAACCTTCCCGGGGCCTACAAGGGGTGGGAAGAATGGACACTTGACTGGAGATGGGAAGAGTGCATGCCGGAGGCCAGGCCCTTCTTACCTTGAAGGTCCCAGATTCTCCTGGCTGGTAGGGGACTAGAGGGGACCAGGAAGCCTGAGATGCCCCTAGACTAGAGCCACACAGCTGCCCCACGAGACCCTGAGTCCAGCTGTTGTTACTTTTGCTAAGCTCAGACCAGCCCTTTGCCTCTGCCAGGAAGCTGGAGCTGAGCATGTGGGCAGGGGGTGGGTCTAGAGAGGAGCAAGTCCAAGGTCCTGCTCGCGCTGGGCTGGGCTACCCGCTAGCTGCAGGGGGCTCTGGGTCCCGGGGATGCCCGGTCGCTGGGGAGTTCATGGCCACACATCTGGACTTCCAGGGACAATATGGAAAGCCCCTGCTTGGAGACCAGGAGCAGGGCCTGGGACTGGGAGAGAACGGGGCAGCATAAGGATGGGATGGGGAAGGGGAGAGACGGGGAGGAGGTTAAACCCGATCTTTACAGCAGCCACAGAGCTCAGGGCTGCATCTGTAAAGGGGGCTGGTGGCAGAGCCAGGAGGCATGGGGCTCCAGGCACAGCCCTGTCTCTCTCAGGGGCTGGCGGGCTGGGAGGCTGGAAGCGGACACAGGGTCTGGGATCCAGAATGGGCTCTCCCCAGACACCGAAGAGGGACTGTGGGGGAGGACAGCAGGCTCTGTGTTGCCCCTCCCACTACCATGCCATCACTAATCAAGCCTTGATTGTTTGGCCAACACCATCGATCCCCACACCACTGATCGGGATGACGCTGTCTTTCCCCCCCTCCCCCAACCGTGCCCAAACCTCCGATCCTCTGAACAGGCCTGGCAGGCAGTCCTGATTCACTGGGGTGGAGGGATCTTGCGATACAGTTGCCAATACTGGTCTAGAATGCACGGCCTGTGTTTGAGGGACTGGTCTGTGGGTGCTGTGTGGGTGTGGGTCTAGGGGAAAACACCTCCTTACCTCAGCCTGGAAGAAACACTCAGAAGTGTGCTAGGACCCATGAAGGGACAAGAAGCCATTTGGCAGCAGAAATGAGGTGTCTTGGAGCTCTTTAGCCTGGAGAAAACGGGGATTGGGGGAGGCACTGTGTGGCCTTAACACTTTGGGGAGTGAGGGCAAGTGGAATGCCACAGGTGGAAGCAGAGAAAAACAGAGAACTCTCATGTGCACTGAGCTGATGCTAAGAAGTCAAAGCAGTCCAAAGACAAGTCTGTCTCAGGAGGTAGAAAGCTCCCCGTCCTTGGAGGTATGCAAGAAGAGGGTGGTGAAGTCTTGGCAGAAATCTTGTGGAAGACATCCAAGCCTCAGTTCTGGGAGGGGAGAGGAGAACCAGATGGTCTTGGGGATTCCTTCCAGCCCCGGGAGCCACAGAGTTGCTGGGGAACAGGGAAAGGGCTGGGCTTGTGGGAAGAGGTGGGCAGTGTAAAAAAGTGACTGTAGTGTGTGTGTGTGTGTGTCCCTGGGGGTTTAGAAAGAAGTATGGGGAGGTGGGAAGGGAGGACAGTCCAGAATTTTCTTAGCTGTGGAGCTGGTAAGTTCTTGACCAGCTTGCTTTCTCTCTCCTGGGGAAGCCAGGATGCTAGGCCAGGGAGGGGTGTGAGCAGCAGACCTGCTGGGACCTACAGAGCCCTGGAAGGTGCAACAGGCAGCCAAGGGCCCACTGGGTTCTTGTTCAGAATTGTCCTGCATATGCTGTGTGACTGAATGCAAAATGGCCCCTCTCTGGGCTTTCCGGATTATTTGATCCAACAGCTGAGGGAAGCAAGGACTCTGCCCGCTAGGCCACACTTGGATCCAGTGTCTGCAGCCCACTCTTGACCCCAGCCCGAGGCAGGGACAACGCCACCAGAGGACCAGAGGTTGAACGTAGGTTCCAAGTTCTTAAGGACGAGGCGACCGAGTCTCCTTGGGGCCCTGGGGGGCTTTGTCGACCTCTGAGAGTTGCTTTTGCCTTTTGTTGGCTAGATCTGCACTTTCTTGGCACCTGGAGCTGAGGAGAAGGCCCAGGCCCGCGACTGCCAGAGGCTGGTGGGACCTAGGAGGGAACCTGGCCCTGGGGTTCCTTTGGTCTCTAGTGCAGACAGCTTCCTGGGGTTTAGGCGCCGGGCCCCTGAAGAGAGCCCATGGCACCCACCCGGAGACCAGGCGGGGTCTAACAATCGTAGTTTCGTCTTCATTTTTTTGTTAAAAAAATAGCTATTTTCCTCTGCCGCTTCTCCTGCCCACTTATCGTGATCTCACCTCCTCCCCTGGGGCCAAGGGGGCAGGGGCGCGGGGGAGGGGAGGGCGTCGGGGGCTGGGCAGCGGTGGTGGGTGAGGCTTCAGGCTCCAGGCCACGCCCTCTACTGGATGCCCCGGAAGAGACACATGGCAAAGATCATGGCGAAAAGCTGCAGAAGTAGAAGTTGGCTTGTCAGGCTGGGCTTCCAGCCTGGCACGGGGCTGTCCCCTCCCAAGAGGAAGTAATCATTAGCCCAGCAAGGGGGCTCACCCATCGCTGGGCACACTCCTGCGGGAGGATTCCTGGGGGCAAGCACCTTTTGCCAGCCACTGGCCCTTGTTGTGCAGCAGAGTCATGGAAAGAAGGGGGCTTTGGACATGGGTTCAAATCTAATTCCTCTATTTGCCAGCAGCAACTTGGGCCAAACGCGTCCCTTCCCTGAAGCCTGAGAGCTTCTCATGCGCCCAGCCCAGTCCTAAGTACTTTCTCAGAAATCTTCAACAGAGCAGAGGCAAGGCACAGAGAGGTCGTGCGACCCACCTAAGGTCATACAGCGGCAAGTGGGGGAGTGGCGGGTTGGGTCTATGCTCTGACCCAGCAGCCTATACTCAGAAGTCCCGTGCACTCCCCTTTCTAGCTCTCAGGAGCGGGGGAAGATGTGGCCCTTGCCAGAGTTGAGAGCACTATGACCCAACATCTCACTAGGGCCCTGGGTGGGAGGGGGTTGGGGGGTAGGGCAGGCAGAGACACAGATTCAGGGATGCCCCTCTGACTAGAATGGCTGAGGCCCCCACAGGCAGGGGTCTTGCAAGTAGCAGAAGGGACAGTCCCCAGACCACAGGCTCAGGGCCAGATCTCTGGTTGGGGAAGCGGCATGGGCAAGGTGAGGCTGGGACAGCGATCCAGTAAAAGTCCCTTTTTGGGAGCAGATTCCTGCCTCCCTTCGGGGTGCAGCTAGGCTTGTGGGCCGGTGGTGAGGACAGCAGATCAAGAATACAGACATTGTCTAACAAGACTCTAGGTCAGCCTGGCCAGGCATGGAGTCCCCACCCTCTGCCATCCTTAGGACGCCCAGCCACACCGTGGCCTGGGAACACAGTAGTAGTACCATTTTGCAGAGGAGTCCTCTATAGCTCAGAGGCCCCCTCTGGGGAGAGGCAGAGCTGGGAGTCATCCCCAAAAGCCCATGTTCTTCCTGAGTGGGACACATGCCTGCGATTCCCGCAGTCCCAGCAGATTTATCTGTCCCTGTTCATTGTGTCCCCCTGCCCTATGAGAGACCTGCTTTACCTGGAACGATGCTGGCATACAGTAGGGGCTCAATCTATGCTTGCCGAATGAACGAATAAATGACACCCCCCCCACATCCCCAGTAGTCTCCACAAAACTGCTCCACGCGGGGCTGGAGGACGCCCTGAGAAGCTGAGCAAAGTGACATTTCTGGTGCAGGGCATTCTGGACACCTACTCTCCCCCCTCCCCCCACCTGCCTAAGGAGGGACAGGGAGGCTGTGGCTCGGGCTGCCTGACTTCGTTTCCCCGCCCGCCCAGGCCTGGCTGAGGCCCAGGAGTGGTCTTTCCTGGAGATGGTCAGTGCCAAGTTCGGGAGCTGGCGGGAGAAGGGAGGGGCAGCTCCGTCCGTTGGCGGAAGCGCCACCTCGTGGCGGTGGCCGGACTCTGCAGCCGCCTCCCTTTCATGCCCCCCCCCCGCCACGCCCCCGACTGGGGCGAAAGGGGTTCAGGGTTCATTAAGACCGCCCTTGTGATGTCGACAAGTCCCCAGAGGCCCTGAGCCTCCCACAGAGAAAGGGGCCTGATCTGGACGCACAAGCCGCATCCCCTCCCACAAGGCAGTGGTGTTGATTCTCGGTCAAGGGTTCACTCTGGACCTTGGGGGAGGCTTAGCCAGAGAGGAACACGGATGGGGTGGGGGGTGCGGGGGGGCAGTGGGAGGAAGACTGTGGGATGACTCTCAGAGCCTGCCAACTCACTGCTGGAGGCTTGCTCAGATGAGCCCAGAGTCCAACAGTGACTCAGGCAACAGACAGACTCCCCTGGGCTTCCCACACCACAGTCCCTGCAGCGGGGGACCCATTGGGTCCTGGATTTAGGATGTGGAGACTGAGGTTGGCTGGGCAGTGCAGGCCATGGGGGATCTCCCTGAGACCCTGTGTGTGCCTTGCTTTTGGGGAGCCAGAGAAACGGGGGGCTTTTACTTACCTCGATGGCCAGCACCCCTATGGCGAGGGCTCCAGCCAGGTAGACATAGGTTTCAAAAGCGTTGAGGATCACTGTGTAACAGCCCTGGGAAGGAAGGACCAGAGGTGAGGTCATAGCTGGAGACAGTCTGGGGTCAGGGGCCAGCATCAGGACCGAAGCATGAAGCCTGGGAACTGGCCTGGGGCCCCAAAACTCGGGCAGCAGCAGGCTTACCCTGTCAAACCCAATGGTTGGCACCACTGGGTGAGCCTCCCCCAAGGTCCAGAGCCCATCCCTCCAGGCCCCTCTAAATGGATGGATTCCTGTGCTATTACTGATCTCTCAAGCAGTGCTGGGGATACACACACTGAGACAGAGGTGGATATAGACACATGAAGAGAGCGGGAGTGGCCCTTTTGATGCCCTCACCTTGAGCCAGTCTTGCCCTGCTCACTGTGCTCCTGCCCTACTGGCCTTCCTCTGTTGGTTCCTGGAGCACACCCCATGTTCTTTCCCACCCCAGGGCCTTTGCATATGCTGCTCTTGCTCTCTGGCAGGAATGCTTTTTCCCATGCCAGGAAAATGAGGGTGTAGCACTTTATGTGGACAGTTACAGCAGCCCCCACACTCACAACCTGCCAGGGAGCACGTGGGGGAGCACTGCGGATAAAGGAGAGAAATGTGATGCTGTGGGGAAAGAGGGCTTAAGATCACCCACAGAGATGGGGAATATGGATGGTTTCCTATTTGTGGTCACCCCTCTGGCCTGGAGTCAAGCTCTAGCAAGGTCATCATCTACTGGGAGACCCCCTGATTCGTTTCCAGCAGGAGAACACATCCCTGACTTGCCCGGGTGACTGTCTTGACCCAGGGAAGGCTGAGAAGAGCCGGAGAAACTGCTCTGGTGGGTTTGACTCTGAGTGTTCATCATGGGTCACCTTCTTGAGGGATTTCCTTATTTCTGCTCATTAGAGGTCAATGGTAAACAGTGGTGGACTAACTCAACATCCACAGAGGAGTGCCTTCTGCTTCGGCCCTTGGTGGCCATGTAACTGAGTCCTGGCTATCCAGGTCTATACAGATGTCCACTGGGGCTTTCTGGGAAAGACACTGGTGCCACACTTTCCCTTCTCTCTGTCTTAAACGTGGGTGGGATGTCTGGAGCCATGGCAGCCATTTTGCCACCAAGGAAAGGCCACAAAGATCATGGAGGCCAGGCTTTGACAGATAGGACAAAGCTACTGATATAATGGGGAAAGCCATTGCCTTCCAGAATTCTTGCTATGTGTGAAACACAGAGGGCATCTGCATGAGCCCCTTGAGGTGGGTTTTGGGGTCCTTGCATTTAGACTTTTGCTCACTGATTCAAGACTGTGATGGGGATGCCAAGGAGAATAGGATCTCATGAGGAACAGAAGCACCGTGAACTCAGGCAGCTGCACAGGGACCTTCCCAAGGAGCTCGGATTCCAAAGTCATGCCCGGGAGACGGAAGGGGGTGTCATCATTGAGGATGAGCCCAGAAATAGGAAGCTTACAAGGGTGAGACTCTACAGGAACAGGGCCCATGAGGAGCCTTCCTGAACAATCCATAGGTGGCCTCAGGACATCGGTTTGGCTCTGGGCGCCGGGCATTCCAAACAGCAGGGCCTTAGACAAGCTAGATGTTCCTTTGCCTTTTGTAGGAAGCTGAGGTGGTCCATGTGTTTTATGGAGCTGTCCGTGGCCCAGACTCCTCTCGTAACGCCCTGACATCCTAGGGGTACACCCTCCGTGGCCAGGTCCTGGGGCAAAGGAGGAGGGACCAGCCCAGGGCTTTAAGGACAGGACACAAGTGGTACCCTTGTACCACTTCTGCTCGCCTCTCCTTGGCCACTGCCTGGTCCCCTGGCCTCACTGCCGGGGAAGAAGGAAGTGCCACTTTTCCCTGGTGGCGATGGCATCACGCCACCTTTCCAAGGAGGACAGCCAGCTGGCTCTGCGACGGTATGAGGAAGCTGAGGTCCAGAAAGGGTGTCGTGGTCCAGGCCTGCCGGACCTCAAAGCCTGAGCCCTCCCCTGCCTCCCCTCCATGTCCTGCAGCCTCTCTGGGAGGCTGAGACCCAAGCCCCTTGGTGGTCCTCCTTGCCCTGAGCTCACAGTGGCCTGATCTCAGGGCCCCTGAATGTCATCACCTGATACCATGTGTGCGGCGGGGAGGGGTGCTAAGTTCCAAGCTGAAGCTGGAAAGACCTCATCAGAGGGCCAGGGGCAGGCCTCAGCATGCGGCCCCCCTCCACGGGGCTCTCCGAGGCCTGCCCTGTGGCCCCCATCCCAGGCCCTTCCAGCTTGGCATCTGGTTTTCTTTTCTTTTTCGTGATCATAACATGTGAAATTATTACTTCTAGTTTACTCCTTGGTTAGCATGAGCTTCCTTCAACTAGATCATGAGCCCCTTGTCTCCTGCCTCCTGCTGTGTCCCCTGCATCTGGAAGTTTCCCAGGAGAGCCTCACGAGAAGCCTAATCAAGGGAGGGGTGTGGGGTGTGTCCTGGGCTCATCCTTGTTCTCCCCCTGACTCCCCCTGCCTGGTCTCTCACACCCCCATCGAGGGGCCAGGGGCCCAGGGAGGATTGCTGCTCCGTGGGAAGGAGGCACCAAGTACAAGGGCACGATTTGTCTCACAGCGGGGGTGGGGGGGAAGCAGGCGCCATGTGTCCCCCAGAGACGGCACGTGCCAGAAGGAAAAGGCTTTCTTCCCAGGACCCAGATAAAGTCCTCAGGTGGCAAGAGAAGCAAAGAGTCTGATAGTTTCCCTGACCTTGGAGGAGAACCTTGCCCCCTGGGGGTCAGAAGGGGCTTCTATATGGCACAGAAGGTGAGCTTCCCCCAAAATAAGATCTAAGGAGGGGCCCCCTCTATGTAATTCAGTTTGGGTTCCAACCAGCACTGTCAGAAGCTCAGGGAGAGCCCCGCCTGGAACACAGCGGAGTCTCAGCTCCCCTTCAGCCCCAGACCAAAGGCCCACTCCTCCGGCTGGGCCATCGCGGCCCCATCTGCCACCCTCATCCTTCATCTACTTCAGCTGGATCCCAGGGGCTTGCTTCCTAGCCCCACTGAGGAGTCGCCTACAGTGACCACCCCTCCAGACGATGGCTGGGGTGCTCCAGAGCCTCTGTGCCAGCATTGCCCCCCACCCCCCACCCAGCTCTGGCCATCCAAGGCCCCCTGCCTGGGGAGCAGGGCCTGGTACCTGCTTGTTCAGGAACAGGTCCCTTCCCAGCAGACACTCCTCCCTGCTCAGCAGGACCCCATCCCGAGTCTGCGGTTCTCTCCGACAGCAGGCCTCAGGCACCTCGTCGCTGTCCAGAGTCAGCAGTCGGAAAACTGATGCAAACCGGAAGTCTTCGGGCCCGTTGACGCCACAGCAGCCAAACTAGGAGGACAGCAAAGGGAAGAGTCTGGGGGGGGGGAGGTGGTGGGAGCTGGGCCCAGGGGGCAGAGGTGGCCAGACAGCCTCCCCCAAGACCCCCATAAGGCAAAGAGCAGAGTCAAGACTCAGCTAGGGGCTGACTCTGTCTGCTGCTCCTGTGTAACCCTGGGAAAGTCACTCAACCTCTCTGAGCCTCCAGTGCCCTCCTGTGTAAAACGGGGGGTGACGGTGACAATGACAACCCAGAACACTGCGTGGATGGCGATTCTGAGGCCCAGGCTGGGCTCAGCGGGCCAGCCCTGATCAGTTGGTGATGTCTGGTACAGGTCCGTGAGCCAAGTGGGCTCTGGAGGCGGGATGTTCGCTGCACCTGGCATCATGGCTTTGAATGCTCATGGCATCCCTGGGGGCGTCACTCACCGTGATCATGACCGAGTTCCAGGTGGCGGAGAAGACATCTGTGTCATTGTTGCCCTGGTAGTGCTTGGTGAGCTCCTTGGTGAAGAACTCGCGCGTGAGCTGGAGGGAGAGGCAGAGGGTGGGCTACGATCCCCCCTCCCTGCCACCAGCAGCTTGGGGCACCCCGCCCCAGCCTGGTCTCTTCAGCTAGCTGCTTCTGGAGGAGAGGCAAGGCCTAAGGGCTCCAGGGTCAGGGATTCTCCCAAGCCACTACCTTGGGGTGGCTCCTGAGTCCCCACTCCAGGGCGTGTGCCCCCCCCCCCGGATCACTGGGATCCCCTGGATCACCAGCTGGAATACGAAGTCGACACACACACGGGGATCCCAGAAGCTCTCTCCACCCTGCAGCTCTTCTCAGAAGCAGGGTTTATCCAGGGTGGGGGACTTGCCCCTCACCCCACTCCCTCCCCTCTAAGCTGTTCCTCAGAGGCACAGGTATGCCCCAGGTCCCTAGCCCTGAAGAAGGGAGTCTGCAGATCCGGTTTCCAAAGGTCCTGGGAAGGCGCTCCCGCCCCCCACATATTCTCATAGGGCCTCCCCACCATCCTCCCTTCCATCCTCACTGCTGCCGTGAAAGGACTGGGCCCCGCGTGGTGTGGTGCCGGCAGGAAGGCTGCATTCCCTGCGCACAGAGTGGCTGCCTCTTCCTCTCTGTCCACGGCTTGCCTCCTCCTCTGGACCAGCTCGTGTGTCCAGACCCCTCACCCCTCTCTTTCCTTCCACCTCCTGTTTCCAGGCACCCCCCATGGCTGGCCGTGCCTGGCCGTGCCTGGCTCCTATAGACTCCGGACGGGGCTGGTGCCCTGGGTGGTTGGAGCTCCTGGAAAAAGGCGGCTGGTGAGGGCAAGTTGCCCAAACTGCATACTGGCCGGGACCTCAACCGAGAGGGCCCTGCTCTGTCCTCCTGCACGTCACATACCCCAGGGCCTGGGGACAGCCTCGCCAACCAGCCTCTGCCAAACGACTATTGCTGGGCATGCTATGGAATGGAAGATTCCAGAATCAGGTGTGGGTTGTATCAGGTGCTTTGGAAGAGCAGAGACTCTAAAGGACCTTCTGATTCTACCTTCTGGAAACACCTTCGCAGGAAGAGGGTCTCTGGGATAGTGGGTCATGATTTGGGCTGGAATTGCTGGCTGAGAGGCTGCCGACTCTGTGAAACCCTGTCTGAGGAGGGAAGGGGCTGGCCCCCAAGGGAGGCCAGGACAACGGGGGCGTGGGGGCCCGCACTTACATTTTCCCTGAAGATGAAGGCCAGGATGGCCGCTGAGAGCTCCGCCAAGAAGATGATGAGGATGAACAGGAAGAACTGTGAAGAGAAGAGGTTCGTGAGCCCTGAGGGTGGTGGGAAGGGGACAGGCGACTGCTCGCTGATGCCCCGGTCCACCTGTCACACGGTTGACCCAATGTACCAATTTCATGAGACGAGGGACCCTCACTGCCCTACCTCAGACATTTTTTCATAAGCAGCCTACCAACAAGTCATCTTCAGAGTCAGCAAGCTTATAATACAAATAGGAAAGAGTAAACAAACAAATATGGCTTCCGAGCAAATGGCACCCCTTCCACGATGCCCCTTGTGCAGTGTTCAGCCTGAACAACGTCACCTGGTAGCCCTGGAAGGTGATTGAAGTTGACCTGTTTGGGCCCTCTCCACATGGAAATCTGGAGTTCCTTAGGGACCCCAGACTGGCTCCCCAGCCCCCGTACCCTCAGCGCCACCTCTCCCTGCCTGACCACCTCTCCTTTCCATAAGCAGTGGGGAATTGATGTTGACCTTCAGGCACAATAAAGGAGCAAGACGGGAGGGGAAGTGATGGGCCCATTAACACCGGGAAACACAGGCGCTGGAGTCTGAAATCTAACAGACCCATCTCTGCCCTACTCACTGCACTTCTCGATGTTCTCCAAATTGTCCACGATGCCTCCTGCCTGGGGGCCACCCCCCCCGCCAGGAAGGCTCCTCCCTTCCTCGTCCACCAGCTCCTCATTTTCCAGACCAGGCTCAGCCCAGCCCCTCTCCTGGTGGGAAGCCATTCCTGGGGTCCCCCACATCGCAGTGCCCCCCAGAGATGCCTGCCCAGCAGCTGCTGCAGCCCCCACCCCCCCAATATCACGAACAGAAGCATTCCCCATGCCTGCCAGTGAAGGTGTTGGTACACGGCTGCCAGATGGACAAATGATCCTGGACTGATCCGCTCACCCTAATGACCTTGTTCTCTGCCACATCGCAGACCATGGTCAGTGTGGACACTGCTTTGGCTGAGAGCCATGGGCAGAAGGAACAGGAGATGACTTTGCCTTCATTACTCCGCGTTGCAGAAGCCCTCGGCATTTCCAGTCTGTGGCCATCCCGGAGCTGTCAGCCCACCTGGAGACCACCAGCAGAGGACCAGATCCCCACTGCCCACGGTTCCTGCACACCCTCGCAGCCCCCACGGCCGGCTGCCCTGAGATGTGCCGGGGCTGGAAGGAGGCAGGAGTCCTGCCCTCAGTGTCAGGACAACTCAGCCTCCTTGCCTCCCTTCATGTGGCTTGGGATAATCATGAAAACTCCTTTGAGCCTCAGTTTCCTTGTCAGTAAAATGGGGATGCTCACATCCGCTCCTGGGATCATCATGGGGAATCCTGAAATAAGGGGTGTGCAAGTTTCTGTCTGTCGTCAGAAGCTGAGCAAAGCTTGTCGCTGAGGCTCCTCCAAGTGTAGAAGGACCTCGGAAGCCAGCTCCCATGGGAGCCCCGGAGGGCCTGGCTCTCAGGGGTCCGCTCAGCGCCGGCTTCACACAGACACCCGTTGCTGCTGGCAAGCCCCTGGTACCCCTCCCCTGGATCGCATCTCTTCCAGGTGGGAGAAGGTTTCTGTCGCTTCATCCTCATCCCAGGAAGACCCCAGTCTTGTTCCCTCCCTGACTTTGCAGCTCTAACAGCAGCCGCCCTGCGCAGGCCCTGGGGTTTCTCCGAACTGCTTGGGCAGTGGACAGAGAGTCTTGGGATGGATTTCTAGATGGTCTATCCAGGGTGGGGACAGAAAACAGCCCCGAGACCTGTCAATGGCTTCATTTGTTTTTAAATGTCCCACCCCAAGGAGGACGGCTTCACTCCTCTTCCCTAATGGTCTCCTTCGGCAGCGGGCTCACTGGTCAAGCTGCCTCCCACGTGGGCTCCGGCTCACAGACACTTGGTCGGCTCTAGAAGCCGATGTCCATCCCATGGCCTTTCTCTTTAGCCCCCACACTGGAAGAAACAAGCCAGAGAAGGGAATGACTATTCCAAAGGTGGGCAGCCCGAAGATGCCAGAGCCAAACCTTTCCTCTTAATCCGGCAATCTGTTCTGCCTCTTCCCTCTCTGCTGGAAAGCACGTTCAGGACTGGCCTGAGGGATTGACTCTTCTGAGCCCTGGGGGTCTGCTGGGGGCAGAGTCCCCGCCCGCCTGGAGGGGAGAGTCCCAGAGGGCCTCCTGTGCCCCGGGGCAGGCTGCCCCCCACCCCCAGCCCCATTGGACTCCCACTGTCCATTCTGCCAACCCCACCAACCCCACTTCCATGAGAGTCTGCCGGCTCTCATCCCCGTGACAGTGAAAGGCCCCAGGCAGGCCTCCTGGCCCTTCTGTGTGGTCGGTGATGGATGGGCGCCGGACCTGTCTTACACGGCCTGCACGGGACCTCCTCCCTGCCCTTGCCCTCTTGGTGGAGTCACTGGCAGTTCCCAGGCTTGCAAAGAGCAGCCCTGGAAATGGTTTCCATCCTCAGCGAGGCGACGGAGCTGGCTCTGGCTACGGATCACAGCTGAGATGGTTAGAAAGTGCAGATGAGCCAGAGCCTAGGCCGTGTGCACGCCGCGTACTCAGCGGCCTGGGAGCGTGGTGCCCTCCCGGACGGTGAGGCTGGGCGCTTTGCACAGGCCGAGGCCGGCGCAGCAGAGAGCCGCTCAGAGGTGGGTCAGAACCAAGAAGCTGGCACAGCTTTCCCGAGGGCGTGGGCTGGTGCGGCCAAGTCCCGAAACAGTAACGCCAGCCAGCCCTACTGAGAGCTCACCACTGAGGTGCTGAGGACAGTCCAAGGCTCCTTTCCCGGGGTGCTCTGGGCAGCCTGGTGAAGCCGCCATGGTTACCACCAACCCCTCCGGTTACCCGGGGGGAACCTGGGACCCAGAGTGCGTAGCACATAGACCCATAAGAGCCTCCAGGTCTGAAGACTTTCTGATGGCCTGTAGGGTTTCCCGTGGACCAACCTAATGCTTTCAATTTCACATTTGTCAGGTGCTTGCCTGTGCTGGGAACAGAGTTAAGCAAGATGCACATTTTCTCCTTGAGCCGTGGTCACAACACTGTGGCTGGGAAAGCGGTAGCATCATCTCCATTTTACACAAGAGGAACCTAGGTTCAGAGAGGTTAAGTAACCGCCCTCAGGTCACACAGCCAGGAAGTAGCGGAGCAGAGATTAGAACCTAGACTTTTCTGACTCCAAAGCCCATGCCCTTACCATGCCTCTAAGACCACCTCCTCTCTGTCCCTTTATTCCAGGGCTACTCATTGAGCACCTAGTGTGTACCAGGCGCTATGCTAGGTCCTGGCAAACTCATATACACAAGGCAGATGTGGTCCCCAGCAGCACGCAGCTTACGTTGAGCCGAGGTTCATAATTCCTGAGATGAAATTCAAGAATGAGCCTAGTAACTCACTGAAGGAGAAAGAAGGGCTCTCCAGAGGGCGGGGGCCTGCAAATCTCCATTGCCATTGCCACTGTCCCCTCCTGGAGTAGGGTTTCCCCAAGCCCTAGATGCCACTTCCGCCCTCTGGCCTTCTTCCCAGGAAATGACTTCCTCTTGCTTACCAGGGTTACTGCTGGTTATCTGGAGGGGCTCCCCCTGGATCCGGCCACAGGGCTTGTCCTGACGCCTCTGGCCTTCCCGGACTTCCCCTCCTGAGACAGGGCCTTTCCCAGGGGTTTTGAGTTAATCTCGCCTCATCCCATTTGCCTAAGGACACATTTGCCAGTAATTCCCGAACCTCAAATGTTCACCATTTTGCTTCAGATGGAAAAATTAACGAAGGGACGGAAACTGCGATTTTGCCTCCCCCCACAAATATTTCCAGACTTTTCTAGCCTATCTGCCCATGGGCACATCTAGTTTCAGTTCTCATTTCTAACAAATGTTTACCAAATTTACATCCTTTTTGTGTCATTCAGCTCATTTATGTCTTCTAAGTACGCACATCTCAGTTTGCTGTTCTCCTTTCCGACCTAGCATCTTGGTCATCAAAATATAAAAAAAAATTCTGAATCTTTAAATAAAAAGATTAAAAACCTGCTGTGAACGACTCCTAGGCAAGCAACCATGAGAAAGGTATGCCACAAAATGCCCATTACAGGCTGAGATTGTCCTATTGTATGTGAAAAGGGTGTAAAATTGATTGACGGGAGGGTTTGGAAACTGTACCTTTAGAAAAATTGATCATTAGGTGATGTGGTCATTAGGCTGAGGGTGGTGGGGCCCTGGGGTTTCAGCCTCAGAGTGGGGGTAGGGGAGGGGATGCTCTGTTACCCCAACCCCAGCTCTCCCTATCGGCCCAGGTGGCCAAAGTCACTCCCTCTAGGTCCTGTTCATGACAAGTCCTCCCTTCCTCCCTGAAGGTTGAGGAGCAGGGCTGCCAGGCTTCTCGAAGGCCCCCGGCAGCCACGAGGGGTGGGACTTGGTGCCCCTCTTCAGCTGGGACCACCACACGGCCAGTTCTGGTCAGAATAGAGAAGTGGTTCTTCTTATTTTTTGAAGTCATGAGTCTTTTTGAAAACCTTCCAGAAGTTGTGGCATCTCTCCCCAGAAACATACATGTTCACACAACATACACACACATATAGACACACACACACACACACACACACACACACACACACACACAAGGCTCTAACGTAATATTTTGCACATAATTCTAGGTGAATTTCAGACATGTGAGTCTGTTTTAGGCCTGAGACACAGGGGACGTGGGTCCAAGAGTCCCCCGTCTGTGACTCGCACTGAGATCTCAGTCTAATAGGCGCTGGCCTTCAGAGAGGTGAGGAGAGGGATGGGAGGAGAGGGACAAAGGGGAGGCGAGAGGACACAGGGGAAGTAGGGAGAGAGGGGCAAAGACTAGGAGAGCTCAGGAGAAGGATAAGGAGAGGCAGCAGGAATAGAAAGCAGGAGATAAGAGGCAAAGAGACAGAGGTAGAGAAAGAGCAAGAAAAGGATGAACGTAGGTGGGTCTCCTAGATCTCGAGACTAACAGAGAGTAAAGGGAGGACGGAGAAGGTGGCAGAAGAGAGGGGTGGAAGGGGCTGCCTTAAGGACTGGGCCCTGGCCACAGCCGGGACTCAGCTGTCCCTCGGGGGCCTGGAGGGAACCTCAGCTGGTCCCTGGGTCTCGGTCTTCTCCACAGGGACCCATGTGCCCATCTAGTGGCAGGCTCAGAGGCTGCCTATTTGTGGAGAGGACTTTTAAGACCCCCAGCCTGCTCCCAGCGCAGTGTCCGGGCCTGCCCTCCTGTCTTGGCTTCAGGGATGAGATCCAGGGGGTGGCAGAGCTGAGGCGAAGCGGGAAGAAGAGAGACTGGCATGACGTGGGACCCACATCCCAGTTCCTTTTGAAGTCCCATGGGCTCCCAAGCCTCCGTGGGCCCCGGGGCAGGGGGGGGGGGGTTGCTAGAGAGGGCCTTCCGCCAGGGGGCGCCAACAGGTTTCTTTGTTTCTCTCCAAATGCAAAGTTTGCTGTGTCCAGGCCGCTGAAGGCCAAAAGGGACTAGGGTTCCAGAGTCACACATCTCACAGCTGATTTCACTTCCTGCTTGGGATGTGGGGAATCTCACTGTGACATGAATGGGGGCCCGTACAGACTGCTCTAATCTGTAGGGGAGTGGGGAGGGTGCGTGGTGCCAGATCTCCACTTCCCAAAGCCACAGGAACAGACACATTGTCCTCCCACTGACCAGCCCACATCCCTGATCGCCTAATTCCCGACCCCTCCTCCCACTCACCCACAAGGAGCACCCATACCCTGTCCCGCCCCCACACACTTCCCCAAGCGCGCTGTCTTCACCTGGCCCTGTAGTGGGACTAGGCTCCAATTAGAAGCTCTCCAAGCCCTGGGCACCCACAGGCCCTCTACTGGGGCAGGAGACCCATCCACCAAGGTCAGGAAAGTAGGGAGAGCCCCAAAGGACACAGCCCATGGGAATACAGAAGGCCAGAGAAACAGACCACCCACCAGTGGCCTCATTTGGTGCCAACCTACAGCTAAGTTGCCCCACGGTTTAGCAAGGGAATTCACTAAAGCTCAGAGAAGCTAAGAAACCAGACCCAAGCCCCATCATCAGGTAGGGGACAGAGCAGGACGCACACTGAAACCCAGGCCCGCCGGCCGCCCTCTCATCCCTTTGCCCCCACCCCCCCATGCCTGTCCACCGGGGACACTCCCAGAGGACTGCCTACCTAGAGCGTGACGGCTGAGTCTCTGCAGTGTAGATACAGCCCCCCCACTCTGCCCCAGGGCACCCATGGGTGGGGTGAGGGTGGGCTACTCACGAACAGCAGCAGACACTTGTTCTCCCGGACGGCCCCGCAGCAGCCCAGGAAGCCCAGCAGGAAAAGCAGGCCGCCCATGGCCAGGAGGATGTAGGCGCCCGTGATAAGCAGGGGGTTGGCGGCCACGATCTCCCGGAAGCCGGTGGGGTCCACCATGACCCAGATGCCGATGCCCAGCAGGCAGGCCCCGCCCAGCTGCTCCCAGGGCGGGTTAGGAGCGGGGAGAAGAGACAGACAAGGTGGGGGGGGTGGTTAGGCACTCCACATGCACACCGTTACCCCCACGTGTGGCCCCATGGTAAGCCAGGGAGCCCCTGGGAGCCCCAGAGAACTGGGCAGAAACCTGATTTGCCAGAGACCAGGGTCCAAGGAATGTTTTTCACTGTTTTGCATTTTCAGGGTTACCCAGACCTTAAGGGCGTCCTCTAAACCCAACCTCTGATCCACGCCATATCGTGGGCTGCTGGGGATCATGTCCCGGGGAGTTTATTTGCCACTTTTGGAGTCTCCTTAAATGTTAGCGCTGCAGGATAATGAGGTCACTAGTGCAAGCCTCTGATTCCACACTGAGCCCCAGAGGGGGCCCATGACTTGCTCAAGGTCACACAGCAAGTTTATGGCAGAGCCAGTGCTGAATCCCAGGCTTCTCTGACACAAAGTCCACGGCACACCCTCTGAGGCCTCTACCATGCTAGGGGCTGGGAAAACGTGGACACAAGCTGGCCCCTTTGTCCTCAACAGGAGGTCTCATCAGCGTGGGCTCACCACACTCAACACCGCTCCTCGAAAGCCTTCTTGTTTATGTCTTCGTGTCCACGGCCCATCTCTCCGTGCCTTACTCATCTTTGGAGAGAGGCAGCTTAGTCCAGAGAAAAGGTGGTGCCGCTTGTCAGCTGTGTGACCTTGGGTAAGTGGTTTAGCCTCTCTGAGCCTTAGCTTCCTCATGGGTAGAAGAAGATACAAACTCCCCCCCTGCCTAAGGTGACACCAAGGAAGAAAGGCCAGTGTGGATAGGAATGTTCTTAGCAAGTTTCAGTAAACATCTGGTCCATTTTCCTTGGGGACAGACAAGGACTGGAAGCAGATCTGTTACAAGAGAACAGTTAGGCCTCATCGGGTTTTGAACGGGGTGAAGTATCTGAAATCCCTGTGTGATGGGAGGACCAGAGGCTCCCCAGAGGTCTCCCAGAGGTCCTCCAGAGGCACGCGCCAGCAATGCCAGGCTGTGGCTAAGAGCAAACTGGTGAGCTCTGAGGGGTTGAGAGGGGTCCGCAGGCTGGCGGGCAGAACTGCACAGCTTGGGGCTTGGAGCAGGAGACAATATTTTTAGTACAGGGGTCACAGCAGGGGAGTGAAGGAGAGGCTGGAAGGACCCATCACTGGGCAGATTGAAAGAGAAGGCCCACAGGGACTGCTGATACACAGTCCCCACGGTCGCCCTGTGCCGGGCACCACCTTTCTCCTCCATCCCTTACAAATGCTCTGATAAAAGCTGCCTTCCTCCTCGTTGCTCTTAAGGTTTTGCGGTTCAACAATTGTGTGCTGAGGGCTGCTTCAAGGGCACAGACTGAGCTGCCTGAGGAGATACAGCCCCATTTCTGGTGGGGACCCTCAGTCTTGCCCAGGGTCACCCAGCTTGGAAGCTGGGTCCGGAATTCTCATCTGGAGGGCTCCCTGTGCTTCAGGATTATGGGCAAGGAAGGGACCCCACGAGAGTTGCTGGGATGCATGAAAAAATAGAAGGAAGAGAGAGAAGAGAGGCAGAGAGAGTCATTCATGACCAGAAAGGACCTCTCTTTCCCAGCGACCCTGGCCTGGAGGGCATCAGAGGACTTTTACTCACCCACGACCTGGCTGCACTAAGGTCAAAGGTTGAGGTGAGGTCAGGAGAGCTGGCCGGGGAGGGGGGTTTGGCTTAAGACTCCAGGAGTGTGGCTTTGCTCCTGGGAGAGGCCAGGGGCCCAAGCAGAGCCTGTGGGGGCTGCCGCCAGCAGGTGGGCTGGGCTGCAGGGCGCTGGGCTGGCCATCTGAGCGCTGAGTCTCTGGGCTTTCCAGTACAGAATCCATATGCTGGATGCCGATGGAGCTAAGCTAGAGAGTACTGGCACATTCCAGGCACTTCCTAAACGGATCTTGCTTAATTTTCAAAAAAACCTGTTGAGGTAGGTAATGAAGGGATGAAGATACTGAGGTTCAGAGAGGTGAAATGTGTTTCTGATCACACAGCTGGTAAAATGCAGAGCTGGCTTTGAACCCTGGCTGCTCCCAGTCCCAGAGAGGTTTCAGATTACATGGGGGCGGGGCGGGGCTCACAGCAGCTTGGACAGTCAGCTCTGAGGCCCGCAACTGCCCTGGGGCTCAGGGTTGAGGGGTGCTGTCTCAGCTGCCCTCTTCTCCACCCCCTGCTTCTTCCCAGCTCTCCACCAGGGGTCTGATCCTGTAGCCAGGACGAAGGCTCCTACCCTTTTGTCAGGGGGCCTGAATCGTCCCAGGGTCTGTACCAAACATCTCTCCGTGACCATGGGCTCTTCGGAGTGGGGCAGGTGCCACTGGGGGCCTCTCGTCCAGGAAATTCTGGCTGGCCGGGTCCATTTGCTTCTGGCACTGGCCCCTGTCCTGCCCCCAGGACTCCGCCCAGTGTGACTATTTCTAAGCCACGATCTGTTCTACCTGCCCAGCAGAGGCCTCGGGGGACCCCGGGCACGTTCCAGCAATACTTACAAATATGAAGAAATTGAAGACAAACATCAAATACTTCATGCAGCTCAGACAGTCGCCTTCCATGGTGTTCTACCTGCAAAAGAGCAAGCGCCTCAGTTTCCCTGCTGGGAGACCCCACCCGGAAAGAGCCCTGGCCCGTCCCCCCAGGGGTTCCAAGCGGTCAGCCCTGCCCCTGTGACCGGTGTTTCCTCTCTGGGAGGTAGCTCTTTACCTCGTGTGACCAGAGTTAGGAGTGAGAACTCGGGGAATCCACCCTGCCAGGGCTCAAGCCTAGTTCCTCCAGTCATTTGCTGTGTGGCTTTGGGCAAATCACTCCACCCCTCTGGAGTTTGCTCTTTCCAACCTGAGGAAGGAGATTAAAAAGAGAAGCTTCTTCCTAGCCGAATCGCGAAGGTTCACGGAGATAAAGCTGTGGCACGCTTAGAACGGCGTCTAGCAGGTGCCAAGCATCTAGGAGGGCTGCCTCGAGGCCCGGCCTGATGGCAGAGGTGAGACTTGCCTCAGGCTGAGAGCTTTTAGGAACTTGCTGAGGCCATGCAGCCAGATCAGAATCCGGGCCTCATAAACTTCCTGCCGCCCCACACAGCCTCCAGCTTGCAGGACGGCCTGGGGCTATTCCATGGGGCCAGTGGAGGGGTGTCACAGGGGAAAAGGGGGGGTGGGCGCCTACCTAGGGGTTCAAGCCCTCTTCCTGAGGCCAAACCCTCCTCATGCCCTGACTACCTCTGTCCTGAGACCTACGGCATCCCACCTCCCTAAGGAGCCTTCCCCGTCTCTGCCTATAAGTCTGCCCCCGGTATTGAGTCACTGCATATGATTCCGTTCAGCCAGCATTTACTGTGCATCGACTGTGTGCCAGGCGCCGGGGCCCGAAACCAACAAGATGCAGCCCTTCCGCAACCCCGGGGGAAGCAGGCAGCATCTGCTCTCACGAGTCAGACTTCAAGCCCATGGTCATGTCCATATTTAGTAGTCTGTATTGCCATACTTTCTTCATGACGGCCCCCCGGGGATTAAAAAGAGAAGCTTCCTCCCAGCCAAATCTTGAGGATAGGGGAGTGAATTGGGACAGGGGTCCGAGGTCCACAGGAGTTGAAAATAGCCGGGCCAACCTCCCCCAGCTGGTAAGGGGCACGGCTGCAGCTCAGCTTGGCCTGAGTCCCGCTCCAGGGGACCCCGGAAGGTGGTCTGCCCTTCTAGGACAGGACATGGTGCAAAGGGTTCTGGGAGTACGTGTTGGGTGGTATCAAATGTGGGGAAGACGGCACTTTGTTTCTTTCCACGGTTTCCCATCCTCCCTCCAGAGAGAGCTGGGCTCAGTGTGCCTCCCCCACAAATAAGCTTGATAAGTCCCGTTTACCCTGGTCATCGCCAGGCTTATTAGGATCAATCTACATCATCGCAATCTCCATTTGGGGAGCACCTGCTGTGTGCTAATACTATGACGAGTGCTTTCCACCTATGATCTCATTTAAATCTCCTAACGGTCAGTGAGGTGTGGGCATTGGTTATGGCAAATTTTCAGGTCAGCCTGGCAAGGTATATGTGATTATCAGAGAGATTATGGCCACAGAGCGTGCAGGAGGCAATGCTAAGGTCTGACACTGAAGCCCATGCATGGTGCCTAGGACACGGCGGGCTCAGCAAATCTGCCCCCTCCCCACCCCAGACCATAACCCGATGCCCCTCCCAGCAAGGAAAGCCTCATAGACGGAGCTACACTCGTCTCCTGCACTCCTAGCTCACTGCACTTGGTGATGATAGGACCAGCCCCGTGTGGCACTTTGGTCGAGGCAAGCGGGTTTTTAAAAAGTGCATTTGAATCCATGCAGAGAAAAGCAGAGACAGAACCTGCCGTTGGGGAAGGGTGTGCAGAAAAGGCTGGTGCCTCTCCTCTCCTCTCCTTGTGGTTTTTGCTGGTGAGCCAAGCATTGACCTGGGCTGGGCAGTGGCCACGGCACCACTTAAGGCACCTGGGAGTCCATGAGGAAGGTGCTGGGTCAGGCAGGCAAGGGCTCTGGGCCCCAACGGCTTCCCTCCTTAAGTTGCCCGGCTCCTGCCAGCTGCTCTGCTCAGCTGATTGTGGCCGATTGAGGCCAGAGCCGAGCAGGGGACACTGAGGCAGGGCCTAGAACATCCGAGCCAGATGCGCTTTCTTATTTTATTGGGTGGCAGAACCCAGTGCATCAGGCGACACCATGACGAACCCAAGGCTGCTCCAAGAGAAAATCAGGCAGTGACCCTGAGCTGAGGGCTCCAGGCTTGAAGTCTCCAGGCTCGAAGCCTTTGTGCTTCTGAAGGTGCCTGACCCAAGGGCTTTTTTTAGATCAGGTGAGAGGAGAAGGGGAACACAGGGTTCCTGGGGTCACCCGGCTGGTCGCCACCCCTGGGAATAAGGACACGAGCATTTAGTAGGTGTAGGGCCCCATCCTCCGCACTAGACACGTATGAACTCACAACAACCTACGAGATAAGTACAATCATCATCCCCATTTTCTAGAGAAGGAAACTGAGGCAGGGAGAGGCTAGGCGACTTGCCCAAGGCTGCAGCTGGTGAGTGTGGAGGTTGAGATTTTAACCCAGGCAGTCTAATTTGGAAGAACAAAGGATGGAGGGCACATGCGTGCGTGCGTGTGTGCGCGTGCGTGCGTGTGCATGTATGCCTGTGTGTGTGTGTGTGTGTGTGTGTGTGTGTGTGTGTGTGTGTGACTCTTCTTTCCTTCACTGAGCTGTGGCCTGACTTTATGAAATGTCATCTGCCTCCAAAGCTAGAAAGCTAGAATCTGGTGACACCACCCACTCCATTCCAGGGATCTTTCAAGCGCCCCCAGTCTCTCTGCTCCCACCTCCTCTCTCTCACCCAGATGTGGCCTCGGCCAAGGCCTGGTCTCCCTACTTCCAGACACTCCCCTTCCAGCCAGTGATCCCAGAGGGGCCTTTTGGCAAGGCACGTCATGTCACATCATGTCCCCCGCTAACTGCCTAGGCTCTCCAGGAGACCAGCCACCCCCTGCCTGTGGACAGTGAGGGTCTCCAAGACTCCCACAGCCACCTTTTTGTCCTCCTCTGCCCCATCACCAACATCAAAGGACAGTCCCCCGAGCTCACTTAGTGCCTCCACTCAAGCTAATCCCTTCTGCTGAGACTGCCTTTCCACCTCCTCCCTTCCCACCTAATCCCTGTTCATCCCTCAAGGCATCACCTCCTGCCCTGACAGCCCCCCCCCCATCCTGTCCCTGTCTTCCCAGGAGCTCCCACGGCCTCTGCTGATCTCCACCGCTGCCCCCTCCACACACACACTGTGTAGCATTACGTCACCAGCCTGGAGGCGTGGGATGGCAGCTGTGTCCTCCTCCCGGGACGCAGCAGGGATTGGTACGTGGTCTGGATTGCACAAAACCCGGCCACACAGTGAACGTTAATTAAACAGCCTGGGCAGGAAGCCTGGTGCGAGGCTAAGGGCTTTGTGGGCAGTGCGTCTTTGTGTCCTCCAACCCCTCCAGCAGTTAGAAAGAGGGGGGCATGAGGATCCACACAAGCAGGGGGCCTCCCAACTTCCTCCTTTCTTCTTTCTGCTGTGCCCTCCAGAGTGAGCACAGTCCCCACGTGGCTCCTTCTGATGTCCCATTGGCCTGTCTTTCTCTCCAGATCTCCTGATTGGCAGGATCAGGAAGACCTGGCCCTTCCTTTGTCCTGGGACCCATCCTCCCAGTGGAGAGTGGGAGGGCTGAGATTCCGTGGGGACCCCAGGTCTGGCTGGCCAGCTATAGAGCTAGCCTGTCTTCCGATTGGTCTGCGCCTGGGCCCACCTGTACTTGACCATCTTGACCCTCATCCTTAACTGTGGTCATCTCTGTCTCCTCCATCAGCCCTCAGCCCAGGCTCTCTGCCTCCAGAGCAGCTCCCCAGGAGGCTGTCTCCAGGCCCACCTATAGCAGTGCCCCTCCTCCATCTCCAGCCTTCTAGAAACAGCATGTCACCTGAATTTAAACATCGTGGTTCTGAGCATAGGCTCTGGAGTTGAACACACCTGGGCTCCAATCTTGGTTCTTCATCTTTCTACCACCATGTCTTTGCTAAATGACCCAAACTCTGGGAGCCTCAGTGTCTTTGCCTGCAAGAATGGACATCAAGGGCCCACATCGTGGCATGTGGTGAGAAGTCAGTGCCTTGCTGGCCTGGAGCGGGGTGGACAGCTCTTCCTATGGTCACACCAACCCAGCAGGTGTACGGGCCTCCCTGAACTCAGGATCCCAGGACAGTGCCCTAAACCCTAGGCGCTGCATTCGGACCCCCTCTCCCTTTGGTATCAGGCTGACCCAACTCCACACGTCTGCTGAGACTCGGCACTCTCATGTGCCAGCTCCACGGAGCGCGTGCCCGGACTCTTTCAATGACCCCATGAAGTGCGAAGCACTGTCCATTGTACAGATGAGAACACCAAGGCTCAGGGAAGCCAAGCGACCTGCCCAATATCCCAGGGCTTGTAAGCACGCCGCTCAGCCCACTCCAGATCCTGTGCTCCACCTGGTTCTGGGGGCAGCTTTCAGATAGAGAGAAGGGCAGAAGGAGCACTGGACTGGGAGTCCAGAGCCTGAGCTTCCTGCCCTGCAAGTCACTTCCTCTCTCTGGCCTCAGCATCTCCCTCTGCAAAACAATGGAGCAGTTTCACGACTTGTCAGTTCCTTCCATCAGGCTTGAACTTGTACTGGATGGGCCTCTAGAGGGCAGAAGGGACGGCCCGACTAAGATGCTGGTTGTCTGCAGGGGTCCAGGCTCTAGCAGGCCCCTCCTTGGCCCACCGAGGCAAATCTGCTCTCCATGGCAGGGTCTGGCTTTGGCTGGCTCTGGCTTTGTAGCAATTAAGGGGCATAATAAATATGGCAGCTCATAAACGGGCTCCCTGTATTTATTACGTACCGCGCTCATTACAGATTACATCTCATGGGTAGCTTGCGGCGTGCTGGGCTCCCAGACAAATGCAGTAAAAGGAGTGTGTCTCCTGGGAAGAAGAGCCTCTGACAACCTCAGAGGTGAGCAGGTAGAAAAAGAGACGATGGGAGCCAGAGGGTGGAGGGAGATCCAGAGGCCAAGTTTCCACTCCAGGGTGAGGGGTGTGAGTGGAGAGAGGGTGTTGGGGCCTGACCAGGGATTGAATCCCACCCCACCAAGCCTAGCTGGTGGCGGGGGGCAAGTTCCTAAACCGTATACATCTGCATGTCTTTGTCTTTAGAATTAGTATAAAAATAATGCTTTCCACGCGATGCATGGGAAATACAGAGCGCGGGGCTCGGCACATGGCTGCTGACACTAGAACAGCCAGTTACCAGCGGGCGGATATTAAATTCTTACCATGGGCCAAGGGATATGCACAATCTCAATCCTCCTAAAGTTTCAGGATAGAGGTAATGTCATCTCCACTTATCAGGTGAGGGCATTGAGGCTCAGAGAGGTGCCATCACTCATCCAAGGTCACACAGCACAGAAGTGCCTGAGCCAGGATTTAAACCCATGTCTGTCTTCATCATCATTTTCGAGAAGTGCTAATTCCCTTGCCCCCTTCACCTACCCTCCTCCACAATTCAAGCCTGTATTCATACCTCCAAGGCCACCTCATTTCTCCCTGTCCAGGGCAATCAGCCTTCTGGGTCATTAGCCACCGCCAGGGTGAAGTCACAACACCGATGCCTGTCAGTTCCACCTGCCACCAGGCATTTCTGAGTGTGGGACACATATCCTGAGCCAACTAGCCGGACAAGAGGGACAGACCCGGGAACCCCTGGTCCCTGCCTGGGTCCAGTGAGAGCTCCACTCACCCACAGTGCCTTTGGAAGTTCAGCGAATCACAGCCCAGTTCCCTAATTTACCTCAAAGGAGGGTGGTGACAGAGACAGTCTCCGGAAGGTTGGGCTGAGAAGAATCGTGAAACTATGAGGTCCAAGGGCTTAGCTGTTTCTCAGAAATGGTGTTCAAAGGCACTTATGAAGGAGCAAGGGAGGTCTCTCTGCTGAAGGGAGAAGATACACCCTCCCTAGGGCCCGGGGAGGAAAGGCCCACTGGGGTTTCCTCAAATCCTTGGAGGTGACAGGGACCTGGCCCTTCCACTTTCCAGTCTCACAGCCTTGGACAAGCACACAGCTTCTCTGGGCCTTTGCTTTCACATCTGTGAAATGGGGCCAGGAATGCTGGCCTCCTCAGGAAATCGTCTGGAACAAAGATTGAACGGGCACGGATGCAGAGCTCCTGGCACCACGCCTGGCACTCGACAGCTCTGTCCCTTCTTCCTTCCCTGCCCCCCAACCCCCCACCGAGGCGGCTCCTCTCCCTCCTACTCTCCCAGACACCAATACACAGGCCAAGTTCCCCACATAAGGACAGGGGAGGACTCAGATATGGAGGAGGATTTCTGAGTGGGGAGAGCGGTTCTCAAACAGGATTCCCTGAGACTAACAATTTCCTAAAGCTATTTTCAGGATTGCGAATAAACACTCAGAAATCGTCTGCTCTGCACCAGCTGCCTCAAGGGGCAAGTAGCTTGGGTTTTGGGGGCAATTAAACCAGCCCAGGGTGGGGACCCTACTTCTCGGGTTGTTCAGAAGTTCTGGCCCCCCGCTATGTATGACTTTGCCGTACAAAAATGCAAGAGAAACTTGCAGTGTATACCTAGGAAATGACTTGGTAAAGGCGGCACTGTTTGATAGAGACAATCCTTTTATGTCTTAGGGCCCAGAGGGATGAATTGTGGGAGTCGATGTTTTAGGCAGACTCGGCTTTGTGTGCGTTCAACTCCCCACGTGCAGGGGAGTGGGCGAGGAGCTGCGGTCCCAGCTGCCCTTCTATGCAGGGGTCCCGCCCCAGGGTGAGCATGGGGGTGGGCGTAGGGGGCTTGCTGTCCTGGATCTCATGGTCTCAAGGCTCCTGTTATGGTGTACCCTCTCTTGGCCTAGTGATGGCTCTGGGCTCACAGACGAGTGTTTCATCGTACAATGTGACCCCAGACACAAGTGACCATTTCTCGTACAATGAAACCAGGTGGCTCAGAGCTTTAAGGGGATTTAAGTGAAACTTTTCATTTCCCTAACAGAAATTCTTGGTCATGAGCTGGTAGGGCAGCTCTGACCAGTCAGATCCCCTCACTTTGGAAGCAAGAAAACAGGCTGAGAAATGGAAAGGGGGTGCAGACAAGTCAGCAGACCAGTTAGCGATGGATGTGAGCCGAGCACCCCGGTCTACAAAGGCCAGGTCAGGGCCCTGGGAAAGCGTTCCTGGCTCAGTCCTGTGCTTGCTGATCTCGGTAGCATGAGTCTCCCCTTGTTAGAACTCATGCTCCGTGAAGGCGGGGACTTGGTTCATCCACTGCCTGATTCCTAACATCCTGAGCAGTGCCTGGCACACAGTGGGTCCACCATTCAGACGTCTGAATGGGTGAATAGTGGGAAAAGAGAAACTGAGACAGAAAACAGCGCAGATCTTGCAAATCAGAGAAACAAAGAGCGGTCAGAAAGAGAGGGAAAGACAGAGAAAGGCAGACAGCAGGAGGTGACGTGGGCCAAGACAGACTGAGAAAAAGCTGAGGACGAGGCAGGGCATTGTCAGGGGACAGGGCAGCGGTACACAGGGAGAGCAGGGCGCCAAGGCTGACTTCTCACCTGGGCGGCGCTTTGGGCGTCAGCAGGACAGAATCTCCCGGTCAGAGGGGGCTCTCGTATGTTCTTTTATTGGCCCAGCTTGTCCTAGAAGGGGAAGATATTCAATTACTATAGGAAGTCAGTAAGGAGCAGCCACGTTCTAGAAGCTGTTTATGAAAACCTGCCCTAAGGAGGCACACAGGGCAAGTGTCTTGCTAATCTGGGTCCATTAGCGCTAATGAAAAGCTCTCGGCATCTGGGCCCACTCCAGCTGGGAAGGCCTGCGCGGGGTGCCTGCCCTCGGCCCAGAGGGGGAACCACAGCTTTAAGACACTTTCAGCATCTGGCACAGGCTCGGTCTGCACTGACATACCACACGCAGCCGAGGCACTAGGAGGACACAGCGGGCGTGGTGACCCACACACCTGGACGTCACCTGGGCACCCGTGGGGAGGCCCCAGCAGAGAGTGCCAGCAGGGGTGTGTTCCTCAAACCCCCCTGCCCCAGAAATCCTGGCTCCTGGGGGAGAAAAGCAGATGTCGGAAAGCATTGCTTCGGGCTCACAGAAGGACTTAGCCTTCTGGCAGGAGCCAGACCTCAGCAGTGGAAATGAGGGCTGCTCTCAGTCATCCAAATGGGCCAGATGGAGGCTCGTGTCCAGCCACACCTCGGGGAATCCCACGGCCTGGAAAAGTGAGGCTGTGGAACTTGGGCAGCAAGGGGCATTCTCATGGCGGGGAGGGGAGACTTGGGGGTCTCGGGGGCCCATTGAGATCCCTTCCCGTTCACATCAGCGGAGGGCTGGTGGACGAAAGACTCCTCTCCGTCCACGCCTGTACCCGCTCAGGAGACACATTTGAGCACCTACTGTGTGCTGGGTGCCATGTTAGGAACGGGGACATGTATGAGCCCCCACGGTTGGTGGCGTTTGGGACTGGAGACGCCAGTAAGCTCGCCCTCTGTGTGGGGCGGTGGAGGAGATTGGAGGAGACAAACAAAGGGAAGACAATAGGGCTGGGGACTAACTAGAGGGACTAACTGTCCACGGGTGTAACTCCACTCCACTAGGGGCAGCGGGGCAGGAGAGCGGTTCTCAGGGAAGGGGCGGCCCAGGGGAGCAAGTCTCCAGGAAGCGTGGAGGCGAGGCCAGGCAGAAAGGCAGGAGCAGGGACCTCCCTCCTGACAGCTCGTGGAGGCCCTGGGAGCCGGTACCTTGATTTGGCCCAAACACACCCACACGGCAGGCTTGTCACCTGCCTGCCTCTGGATCTGCCCCAGAACTTTGGGCTACAGGTCACACGTGAGCTCGCTGGGCGCTCACGACACCTGAAAACAAGGATCCCACAGGCACGGCTGTTTCCCAAGAGGAAGCCCTGCCTCCTTGTCACGGGTTATCCCTGCCCCATTGTATGGTGGCTCCTGGGCTGAAATGGACTTACCCTCTTTGTGGTTCCGACTGCCCTGAAGAGCCTCCCATCTCTCTTTGCCCCTCTTGCTCCCCCAGCCCAAAGCCCGGCTCCTGACTTGTTTCCTGACCCGGCAAAGAGCTGCATTAGGGGATGCTGGTGAAGGGTGGCTGAGGGATGCCTGCCACGTGTACGCCATCACAGCTGGGACGGCACCTGCCTTAGACGGCTCCCTTGAGACCTTCAGAAAGTCACTGACCCTCCCTGAGATGCCAGGTTCTTCTCTGAAAACTGTGATTCTTGATTTCAAAGTCAAAGGGGGTTGTAAGCATTCATGATATGGGGGCACCCAGGGGGCACAGTCCGTTAAGCATCTGACTCTTGGTTTCAGCTCAGGTCATGATCTCAGAGTCCTGGGATCGAGCCCTGAGTCTGGCTCTGTGCTCAGAGTGGAGTCTCTCTCTCTCTCCCTCTCCCTTTGCCCCTCCCCACTGCTCACGCTTTCTCTCTCAAATAAATAAATACATCTTTTAAAAAAAAATTCGTGATATGAAGCTTGTGAAATTGACTGATATGATACAAAAACCCTTGGAAACCTCCGAGCACTCTTCCCATGGGGAGCTGGTATTACTAGTACCATCATAAATAGGAAGTAAGTGGAGTCATCAGTGGAGGTGGGCATAGGTGAGAACTGTGGGCAAACGGTCTGGTCGGGATGGCTATAAACATCTTTCCCCCAAGTGGCTCCAAACTCCGCTATAATGTGCGGTAACTGGCTCTAACGGTAACTCACAGTGTGGTGTGCTAACCACGTAGCAGCGTCTGCTAAGCATTTCTCCTCCGTTCCCCTGCGTGCTCCATGCCGACGAGGTCGGCGCCGCTACTATCCCGTGTTCCATACGAGGCAGCTGAGATTGAGAGAATGGAACGAACTGGCCTGGGTTTGTTCCCATGGTCAGCCAGACATGGCCACGATTCAGGCATAAGCCGGCTGGACTCCAGACCAGAGCTCCCGACAAGACACCAGCCCCAGGAGAGAGCACCCGAAAGAGGAAGAGCTACGCCTTGGGCTTCAGAATTTCCAATCTGGGGCTGCTCTCTCCTGAATCAGGCAACCAGGCAGACTCCCAGGGAGCCAGCCAGCATCATTCCCTGTGCCAGCTGGAGGCCCCGGGGGGAATGACCCAATCCCGCCACCTCTTGACAGATGGGAGCCCTGAGGCCCAGAGAGGGGCAGAGACGGGTGAGGTCACGCAGCACCTCGGGGTTCTCCTGTGCAGGCCCCTGCCTGGGCCAGACAGCTTTATTAACATTGCCCCTCCTACCGCCTGGGATGGCGGCTCCATCCCATCTGCACAGTGCAGGCCCGGGAGGGGTCCTCTGATTAAGGAGAACAGCTCAGTTCATAAATCACTCCTTTTACTCTCATTGCCCTCAGCACCCGCCCCCCCCCGCCCGGGCATACTTTCTGGAGAGAGAGAGAAGGAGGCAGGTGGACATGAGCAACGGAGAAGCCCCATGGGAGGAAGCAAAATGCAGGTATGGGGTGGGGTAGAGAGCCCAGAAGACTCTTGCAAGAGCCCCGGCCAGGTGAGGGCACTGTGGGCCAGGGCAGAGCCTCAGTGTCCCCCTGGAGCCATCACACCTGCAGCAACCTGGCTTCCCACCAGCAGGGCTCTGCCCTGCCAAGCCGCGAGACCTGGGCCAGTCTGCCTCCTCAGCAATCATCTCCTCACCTGCAAGATGGGGGTTTTCAGAGTCGCTGGAGCCCCGGGGATGGGTGGTTGCGGGGGGGGGGGGGGGGGGGATGGAGCTGAAAGCACTTTGGTGGCTGCACACCCAATTCCTTCCTTCCTGCATGGCAGGACCCCGCTAGTGCCAGCCCTGGGCATGGTCCCAGGCACAGACACCAGTGGCTTTCCTTCCGCAAGGGCTGACTCAAATCTAGTGCCCGGTCCTAACCCCACACCCAGAGAGGAGAGCCATCCCAACCAAGCGTTCTGAGCCCCCCTGAGAAGCAACAGTGGGGCTGGAGGGGATGATCAGAGCTGGGGAGGCCAGGGTCCAGGGAGCACCGGGCCCTGATAAGGCACTGGGTCACGGATGTTTACCTAGAGCGATCCTACTCGATCCCACAAAAGGCTCTGCAAAATAGATGATGCCACCGTTATGCCCTTTCATAGCCCGAGAGACCAAGGCACCGCGGGGCTAGAAAGGTCCCGGAGCCAGAACCGACCCGAGATTGGCCAGACTCTGAGACCCGTGTTTGTTTCCTTCATCAGAACACGCACGGGGCAGAGGCTTGTCAGGAGAAAAATGATTCTTGCCATCAGGTTCAAGGCTAAGGGGGTGGGGGGGGAGTTATTTGCTAGCTAGCTATGCCCGCTGGGCCTCCTCCCAAGACAGACAGTCTCATAAACAAGCAATTGGCCCGAAATCCTGGCTTGCCTAGGGATGGCACAGACACGGGGACATGGACACAGCTGAGCGGGGGCTCAAATCTAATTAGGCTCCTGGGGGCGGCGCCATGAAGGTTAACCAGGAACAGCCTGCCAGGGATGCAATGGGATCCAGAAGACAGCCAGCCTCCCCTGTTCCCCAGACTCACAGAATCCTGGATGTCGAGGGAACAGAGTCTCTGATCCGCAGGGTCTGAGAAGGCCCCATGTCTAGGGTGTGAGTTGAGTTAGGCCTGGGTGCTTGATCCCTGCCACAACACTTTCCCCTATCCCAGAACACCCATGGGGCTGTTTCCATCAGAGAATCTTCAAAGAAGGAAGTGCCTCAGTGAGGGCGACCTCCAACTGCCTCTTTTCTCAGTGGATGCTGAGGCCCAGAGAGGTCCAGGGTCTTGCCCAAAGTCACACAGCACAGCTGGAAGCAGGAGCTCCTGATTTTAAGTCCACCACTCTTCCCCGACCCAAGGCAGCCTCCCAAGACTGATACCTGAATTCATTTGGCTCCTGAAAGGACACAGCGCATGGCACGTCAGTGAATCCCCCCATAACCCAGGAGATGGGCACTTCTGCTCCATCAGTAAAGAAATTGAGGCTCAGAGAAGCAATTTCAATGGTCCAAAGTCACACAGTAGGTTGGAGGAAGGGTTAGGACAGACAAAGCAGGATTCCTTGTCCTTCTGCCCTGGCTGTCTTCTGGAGGTGTGGCCCTAGGGACTTTGGGCCTGCTGAGGCCCATAGTGACCTTTGCCATAATGCACACTTCCCATTCCCTCCATGGACCTGGGCTGGACCGAAGCCACAGAAGGGGTCATGCCAGAAACAGGACAATGGGTCCATCTTCCTGCCTTGGTGCTCCAACGGTCTGTTTGCAAAGGCCTCTGGGGACAAAGGTGTGCACCCTCCTGCAGAGACTTTCACTTGCCACAGTCAAGGGGCTGAAAACAGGCAACCAATTTGAACTTGGGCATGAGCAGAGAAGAGTGGTCAATTCAGTGTGCCAGGCACAAGATTTGGCCTTAGGACACCAGAGCCCAAGGGCTGGGAGGAACAAGGGCAGGACAGTGCCAAAGCCAGCCCTCCTCCCAAAGCCAGTCCTGCGCTGTCCTCGGGCCTCCCTGAGCCCCGGGGAAAGGTTCCCTGACAGCCTGCCCTGGGATCCGGGGAAAGGGAGGCAGGAGGAGGAAATGAGAGGGCATTCCAAGCAAACAGCAAGGCTCCCAGGCCCCAGGGGACATCGTTG